ACTAGTATTGTTTACATACAATGAGAACGTACGTGGATACTGGATTCTGATGACACTAGTATTGTTTACATACAATGAGAACGTACGTGGATACTGGATTCTGATGACACTAGTATTGTTTACATACATTGAGCACGTACGTGGATACTGGATTCCGATGTGAATGTGAAAAAAACCGGGTTTAATTATTTCTCCACCCTTTGTAGAGTTGAGTCCAATATTATAACTTGTTTCTTCGTAAAATAATAAATTCGGGATGGATTTATTTGTAAAAAGATGTTTCTTCCCAGCTATCTGTTTTTCAAACAATAAGCCACTAGGTTCTAACTAATGTATATATATATATACGATTTGTTGTTTGTTAGTGAAATAATACAGTTGTATATTATATCGAAGAACATGCTTCCAATGTCAGTTAAAGATCAATGTTTATATAAACACACACACACACGCACATATGTATGTGATAATGTTGCTAGTAAAATAATATCAAAACACATACACATGCATGTGTTTGTTTTTTTTATACTTTATATTATCACTGACAGGAATGTAAATACAGAAGCACTTTAGTGTGTATTATCACTGACAGGAATGTAAATACAGAAGCACTTTAGTGTGTATTATCACTGACAGGAATGTAAATACAGAAGCACTTTAGTGTGTATTATCACTGATAGGAATGTAAATACAGAAGCACTGTAGTGTTCATTTTTTGTATGACAGGAATGTAAATACAGAAGCACTGTAGTGTGTATTATCACTGATATGAATGTAAATACAGAAGCACTGTAGTGTGTATTATCACTGATAGGAATGTAAATACAGAAGCACTTTAGTGGTTCATTTTTTGTTCCTAAAATTTGTTTTCTCTTAAAAATCATCTTGAAAGTTATCGAAAATTCCTTTCAGTGAATGAGTCATCTAGCAACTAGCAAGAAAATTATTACCAAGGAAGTTGTTTGTTTTCTATTGTTAAGCGCAAGGTTAATTAATGGGCTATTTGTGTTCTGCTCACCGCAGGTATCGAAATTGTCGTAAACCCACAATCTTAACGCTGAGCCACTGGGGGCAATACTAAGGAAAGAGATGATGTTAGAGGTCACATAAAGGTTATTTTGGTTCTTTCCTTACGATGGAATATCATGGACGAAAAGAAATCTTGTGAACGTCAAGTAAATATACGTTAACAAGGAGCTGGTTGAGAGGATCTAAGTAAATATACGTTAACAAAGTAGCTGGTTGAAAGGATCTACGTAAATATACGCCAACAAAGTAGCTGGTTGAGAAGATATAAGTAAATATACGTTAACAAAGTAGCTGGTTGAGATGATATAAGTAAATATACGTTAACAAAGTAGCTGGTTGAGAAGATATAAGTAAATATACGTTAACAAAGTAGCTGGTTGAGATGATATAAGTAAATATACGTTAACAAAGTAGCTGGCTGAAAGGATCTAAGTAGATATACCTTAACAAAGTAGCTGGTTGAAAGGATCTACGTAAATATACGTTAACAAAGTAGCTGGTTGAAAGGATTTAAGTAAATATACGCCAACAAAGTAGCTGGTTGAGAGGATTTAAGTAGATATACCTTAACAAAGTAGCTGGTTGAAAGGATCTACGTAAATATACGCCAACAAAGTAGCTGGTTGAGAGGATTTAAGTAAATATACGCCAACAAAGTAGCTGGTTGAGAGGATTTAAGTAAATATACGTTAACAAAGTAGCTGGCTGAAAGGATCTAAGGAGATACACCTTAACAAAGTAGCTGGATGAAAGGATCTGAATGAATTGTGTACATTAAAGTTGCACAAAATCGAGCACACATTTTCCCATGTTTCCACTGTTAACATAATTTATATATATATATATATATATAGTACATTTACAAAATATGACCGGATATAATTTTACTAGTTTTTCTCTCATATAGAAATATTTTTTTATAGTTTTCATTTAAGGTTTTAGTCTTCTATAATTAAGTTAGCAATAAATTAAGTACTTATAAGAAGAGACATTTAACAGCGAGCGGTGTAATATACTTGCTACAATAGTTTATGTTTTCTTAGATACATAGTCGTACATTATCAATGATTGTTAAGTACTGATTTCTAGCCTCCATCCCCTCCCCCATCCACGCACACATTTGAATTAGTGAAGATTATTTTGTATATGTACTTCTAAACGAGGCTTCATTAACTTTTGTGAACTAATGAAAAGGTTATTGATACGTATTTGGTATTTTCAACCTGAAGGACACCTTATGTGTACGTGGCTAGACCGGAGACTCTGATTTTCAACTGTTGACCAGAAGAGGAGCAACCAGTCAATAGTATCGCTGTCTACGCGGATAATATTAACTGAATGATACACCCACAGATCATCACGGAGCGAACCTTAGATCTTCGATCT